TTCATAAGTAAGAAAACGACCTTAACTGACAAGACGCATTTTGGGGTGAAATGGAGGAGTTCTTTTGAGAAATTCAAAGTTAAACATGCTCAATGTAGAGTACAACAAGGATGGGTGACCTTATGGGAAGTCAACTTGAATTGCACCCCAAATCAAAAACCGTTAGGGTCGAGGCCCAAAGTGGACAATATCTTCGTTAAGAAATGCAATATAGTGGGATCAAGTAATAAAAGTCAACCCGGGACCTAGATGTACTGCCTACTCCGTGATTATTTATTATCTAGGGGTAAGTTGAGTGAGAATGAGTTTTTACTAAAGCAGGAAGAAAGCAGTAAATGGTTCGATGTCTGAAGCAAGAGAAGAGTCACTAGTGAATGAGTCCCCCTAGCTCCTTAGTTAGGTTCAAGTTGTAATTCCCTTTTGTTGATTTAGTGTTGATTAAACAGCGGAAGATCCGAAAGTAGCTTCGAATCTCTTAAGCTGACCAAGCCCTCTTAGACAGACTATCCGACAGACAACTAGCCTTCATCGGGATAGAATGCCAAGGCAATTAACACAGAACTCCACTAATGGAAACGAACTCCATTACAAAGTAGTGAATTGACTGACTCTCGTACAATCAATTCACTCATATCGATTGAAGAAGCTCTAACTACCTAATCAGATAATATTTATCACACGTTGAAGCAGAAATCAAAAGAAGTTGATCAGAATTAATTGACTCAATAAACACACTTCAATTGATTAAAACCAATCAGTATATCGTCCCAAAAGTCATTACAATCAAGATCCCTAACACATTAAACTAGGTTCTTTATACCTAAGTGAGAGAGAGGGGAAAACAACAATCAAAGTAGTCATACTCATAAAGATGGGAATAGTCTGCTTTGGGATGTCAATCTTCACTCCTAGAGACGCAATCTGGGCTTGAATGGTGAGAAATCCACTCCAAATAGCTCCAAGGGGTTGTTCTTTGTCCCTTTCTCTCACTAGAACTCTGTTTTTCTCCAAAAATTTGAGTCCCCTTCATTTTGCTCAAATTTTCCTATTTACCCCAATACTGGGTGAAAGAAGGGCAAGAATACGGTCATATTTCTCCCCTGTCCATATTTAGCCCAAAACGCGCATTTTGGTTGAGTTGAGACAGAGAAATCCACGGTCGCGTCTGGGGAAATACTGGTAGTATTCTAAAAATTACCGGCAGTATTTTTAAAAGCCCTGGCAGTATTTTTGTCTTCGTCTGTCCATAATTTGCCTTCCTTAAAAAATCTTCAAGGGCTAGCCTCGACCATAAAAATACGAGCTGGACGCTGGAGAAATACGATCGTATTTATGGGAAGTTTGACCGTAACTCTCACCTGAGCCTTCACCATGCTAGACATAAGAAAAATATCGGTAGTAATCATGTGAATCACGATCGTATTTGGTGCAGGGGATGACGATGATTTGTCTCAAAACCCACCAAATGATCTCCAAACGACCCTAAACTTGCGCCTAAGCCTTCCTTTACCTGCTAGGACTTGAAATGTGACAAAATATCACAACCTAGAGTAATATAGGCCAAGGAACCACAAATTCGAGCTAAAACGATTAAGAAACAAGGGTGCAAACATGTGAAAATACGACGCTATCATGTATGTAGCATCTTAGGTGAATCCCACATCAACAAAGCATGGGAGAGATCTATGGTTCGTAAGTAAGAAACCGGCCTTAACTGACAAGACGCATTTTAGGGTGAAATTCTTTAGCCATCTAGGATATTGTTGGCATTTCTATCATTGAAGTTGACTGCTCGTTCTTTACCAACAAGTAAGATGCTCTAGAGCTTTAATCATACTTAGTTTACGTTAATCCCTAAAGTGGATAACGTAGAGAACATGAGACAACTCCAGCCTATCAGCTTATGCTAGTTTGTTAATAAAGTGATAACCAAAATCATGGCGGAAAGACTGACCTGTGTTTTACCCCAGATCATCTCGGAAGGGAAGAATCTTTCATCTGTAAGGGGCAAATTTTTGAAAATATCTTTCTTGGGCATGAGTTAATGCACTACTTGAAAATCAAAACGCGAGGTAAGAAAGGGTATATGGCTCTAAAGGTTGACATGGAAAAGCCCTATGATAGAGTCGAATAGCCTTTTCTTCTTGCTGTTTTTGGGAGGCTAATATCTCACCTAAGCTACAAGTGTTTGTCTGGCAAATCTTTTACCGAATCCTGCCAACATTAAAAGGCCTAATTGAAAAGGAGGTCTCTATGCTTCCCAGGTGCCCAGTTTGTTGAGCGGAGTCAGAAACAATGGAACATTTGTTTTTTGCCTAGTTTGTTGTCCGGTGGCTCGCGCTCTTTGGGACGGTACGGGGCTTGAGTATCTGGGGCAAGGATTGCCTCGTCACACTTTCCCGCTTTTTCTAAAAAAGTTGTTGTCGCTCATATATCAACCTTCTCTGTTCATGGCGGTTGTTGTTGTCTTCTGGAGGATCTGGCGATCCCATAACTGGGTGGTCTTTGAGGGTAAACAGTTTGGGATCTCGGCCTTGATGCGGCAGTTTAAGTAGCAGTACCAAGAGTGGGTAAGTTTATTGGTGGATTGAGTAATCCAGTCTTCCATCCCTATGGTACACAACTTGGGACCTGGTGGGTCTAATTTGGTTGTTTGTATGTGGACGGGGCAACAAGACATGAGTCTCATTTGGTAGGCGGGATGATTATTCTGAACCCAGCTAGAGAAATCCTTTTGGTGGCGGGGGTTCAATTTTCGTTGGTTGATGACCATATGGTGGTCAAGTTACTCGTTCTCCGGGAGACTACTTTATGGTGTCTGGGCCATGACTTTACGAAAATGAGGTTTGAAAGAGATGCCAAAGTGGTAATCGAGAAGATCATACAAGATGATATTAGTGACCATCGAATGGGGTCTATACTTGAGGAAATTCTGCATTATTTCGCAAGTCATACCGGGTTTAGTGTTCGATTTGTAGGTCGGAGTAGTAATATGGTAGCCCATTTGGTGGCTAGAAGGACCCTCTCATTGTACCCGACTACGAGTCGTTTCTTTGACTTTCATACCTGGCCGAATTCCATGATGTAACTTCCTATTTTTCGAATCAATATATGATTATCTTTTGTAAAAAAAAGGAAAGTAGTTCCGCATTTAATTTTTTTATTGTCCTGTAATGTTCTCGTTTAATCTTTTTCAGTTTCCATTTAGCCTTTTCCATAATTACTAGTTTTTTTTTCTAGTTTCTACTGTCGACTTGGGATACGGTCAGTACTGACCTATGAGTAACTAAATTTGAACCTTTAGAGTTAAGTGGGCCCAGGAAATTCAGATATAAGGGTTGTGAATTAAATGCATTTTATTTTCCCTAGTTTTCTTAATCAGCTCTTATCTTCTTCGTTCTAACTCGGATTTCAATTTCTTTTGCACAGATGGAACGAGTTCATTGTGCTCTACAAAATAAGATCAATTTTAATATTTTTCGAGAAACTTTTTTTCATACCTCCCGTTACCAACTACATACCATATGTCAATTTCTTCATTTTTAAGTCGTTTTTGAAAACGTTTGCTCAGAAAGAACGAGTTCATCATGATCTATTGAATCTATAAATTTTTGGGTGAAAAAAATACAAGACAAAAAATTACCATACTTTACCACTATGGTATGTGGGTGGTAACTTGTGGTAAACAATGATGAAAGTCGTAAATGATAGTTAGTATAATCCTACTATCATGTATTCAACCTTCCTACCATATTGGTATGTTCATACCATCATGATACACTTTCTTACCATATGATATTAAATAGGAACATACCATATGGTATTGACTGGTAAAAAACGACTCAATTTTTTTGTTTTAAAATATATAAAAGTGGATATCATTTTAAAGAGCACAATTAATTTGATTTATCGGTGCAAAAAAATTTAAATTTTGACTTAATACAGGAGAGAAATCGTCCGCTAAATATTAAAGTGGAAAAGATAAAAAAAATTTCATGAGAGAGAGGGATACTGATTGATGCTGATGTGAACGAGTTACTCATAATTACTAACCATAAGGTTAATGACCTGATTTACTCCCTCTACTGCTCGCATGAAAAGAAAATCGATAATGATATTTTAATTGGACACATGGTTAAGAACAAATAGTTGGGTAGGGGTGGGCAATGGACAGGTTGGGTGGGGTTTGGTCTCAAATTGACCCACCCGCTTACTAGTAAGTAGGAATAATTGTGACCCGCAATCCACCCACATACTTTTGCTGGTTGGGTTGGGTGGGTCGCGGGTGAGTGCGGTTGGGTCGCGGGTCAACCAGCAAAAGCAATTCTCCAACTAGCTATTAAGAAAGTTGACTAACATTTATAATAAGTTCATAGCAAATTAGTAAGATTGTATCAATAATTTATGATTTTGATACAATTAATAATTTATACTTTGCATCCCAAGATTTACCGGATATTAACAATAATTTGCATACCAATATCCAATATCTAATGAATATTGCACAACACAATAACCAATAATAGTAGTCAAAACTATTCTTTATTCTCTACATTGTGTCGTTCGAAAATATGATGAATATTCGATACTATAAGAAACAATATTTTTTCAAAGAAAAATAGGATGAGGGTCATACGGGTAACCCGCAATCCACCCACCACCCATCCACATAAGTGCGGGTGGGAGATTTATCAATCCGCAATCCACCCACATCAATCACCCATGGTGTGCGAGTCAAATTATTTACAGGTGGATCGATATCAATCCGCGAATTAACCACCGAGATGCCCACCCCTATTAACTGGGTGTACCAAATAAGTAATCCATGCTAGTACACCCGCTCTATCAAACCCCAAAAATTGATGGTGATACCAAAAACATTCCAACCGATCTAGGTTGAACTAGCTTGTACCGGCCGCTAGTTTGAAGTTTTAACCGTCGGCGGACCGAATTAGTTTGTCGGGAGCCGTGCAATAATCGTTGACGACGGCGATCAGGGCATGAGTTTTTGGAAGGACGTGATCGATTCCCTGTCTTCAGTCTTCTCGCCCGAGAATTCAACTTCTCCCCAGCAAAGACGTAGCCTCGGGCGCATGGAGGGCGTTGCTGGGGCTCGGATTTCCAACGAACTTTGCGCCTATAAGTTGAAAGGATACTGTGATCTAGCAACCAAAGAGATCGATAAGGCCGTGAGCAACGAAGAAGAGGGCTTGGTCGATGACGCCATCGTCCATTACAAGAATGCCCAGCGTATACTAATGGAAGCGAGTTCCATTTCTGCCCCTTCTTATATCAGCTCCAGGTAACACTTGTTCATCCAAATTCGTTTCATGGGTTTGAAATTTGAATTCCCTCGCTAGTTTCGCGTAAAGCTGATTAGTCTGAAGACGAAGTTAGATGAAACCCGAACGCGCGTTAAGAGATAATTTAGTTGTTTTCTTCTTCTTCTTCTTCTTCTTCTTCTTCTTCTTCTTCTTCTTCTCCTCTTTTCAGTCAGTCAGTTGGTTAGTTCTGATTGTTGATTAAGGGATTTGATCCATGATGGCCCACAGTGAAAAACAGAAGGTCATATCTTACCGTCAGAAGATCTCAAAGTGGCAGGGCGAGGTTTCTGAGAGACTGCACGCTTTAAATCCAAGCACAGGTCTGTTGTCCTTCTTGTGTAATTGAACTCTAAACTTGTGTACACAACTTGGATAAACTTGTTATACATTGAAGTTTTGCATCTGTGAATCACTCCAGCACCTTGATTTGTGAAACTTGCCGTCTATATTGCCCAATCGTTTGCAGAACTACCAGAACACCTTTACTCAAACCTATACTGCTGCAGGTTTGTCATCAACATCAACTTCAAGATCTCACCAAAAGGAAAAACCATTGACTTCTAGACAAGATTTGCCAAGGAGGCCAACAAGGAACGGTTCAGCACTTGGTAATCAGAGCACGAGAGCTAGCTATGTAAAACCGCCTGGAGAATCCTCAAATAGTTATGAAGCCAAATTGGTTGAAATGATAAATACAGCTATAGTGGATAGGAGTCCTTCTGTTAAATGGGAAGATGTTGGTGAGAAATCTCAACAAACTTCACTTTGTCTTGGTGTTCGACTTTTATTAGCCTGAATATTATATGTTTGTGTATCCACATTCTCTGCAGCTGGTCTCGAGAAGGCGAAGCAAGCCTTATTGGAAATGGTTATTTTGCCAACAAAAAGGAGAGATCTGTTCACTGGACTTAGAAGACCAGCCAGAGGTAGCAAAGTGCACTTTAGGCCTATGTGTCGCATTAATCAGAGCTTCTGAAGCTTTTTCATGATGTAAACCCTGTAGGATGGTTGTATTTGTTCTTTGTTTGATTTGTGGTTTGGTTTACCTCTTTTATAGGCCTACTTCTGTTTGGACCACCTGGAAATGGTAAAACAATGCTTGCCAAAGCAGTTGCCTCAGAATCACAGGCAACTTTTTTTAATGTTTCAGCATCTTCTTTGACATCAAAATGGGTACGTCTTTCATTTTTCTTCTCTCTTCTTTTGTTCTTTTCTTTTTGGCCGGGGGATGAATAAAAATAAAACAGGCAAAAGGAGTAGTAAGTTACAAAAAAGTAAAAGATTTTGAATTCTTGCTTCAGGTTTCTTCTTTGTTTAATACTTCTGTGCGTTAGTTGATATTTTTGTTCGTCACTGGATCAGGTGGGAGAGGCTGAAAAGCTTGTTCGCACTCTGTTTACAGTTGCTGTATCAAGACAGCCCTCTGTAATCTTCATGGATGAAGTATGTGAAACTGTCTCTTCCTATTAGTTTAAGTGAATCACAGTAGTGGAAACACATTCATGTTTCATCCTTTTGCAAGTTCTTTTCTTTGTTACTTGCAAATGCATTTCAGTTATCTGGGGCTGCCTAATTTGCTTTGCCAGCAGTGATATACAGCATCTACATGGACTATGTGGTCATAGTATCAAATACCAAATGGTTCTACAAGCTCTACATATTCATAGTAGCTCACTTATAGTTCCAAGGAAACTAACTTAGCATATGTGTTAATCTGCATTTTTCTACTTTCTGGCTTTTCTTTTTTGTATTATACTACACTTGGACTCTTCTCTCCGCTTGACGTAGCACGATGGAACTTTATATGATTAAAATGGGAAACTTCCTTACTACGCAGCTTTATCGAGTTCTTCACTTTTTGTGCTTCTGAACAGATAGATAGTGTGATGTCAACTAGGAAGGCTGATGAGAATGATGCTAGCAGAAGGTTGAAATCTGAATTTCTGATACAGTTTGATGGCGTGACGTCTAATTCCAATGATCTAGTAATTGTAATTGGTAAGTTATATGTTTGCTGCATTAAATAGTACATAATTTCAATATAAACAGCTTTATCAGTTGCCAATTAAAGTGTCAATGGAGTACCCCAGTTAAATACCACCTGCTTCAGTATGGACCTTATTTTTGAAAGGTTTAGCATTTTAAGCCATCAGCAGTATGTGGTTCCTGAAGAGTTTTATTTTGGATGCGAGTACTGGCAATATTTTTGTGTCATTTGGTGGGAAGCACAAACATATAGACACTAACACAACGCATCGTATGTGTAATTTGTTTTGAACTGACACTATAACCACCAACAAAGTCCTGAGATAGGATTATACCTTCCCTCTATGTCTAAGATGTAAGGAAGATAAAAGAAAAAACGAACCACACTCTTGTTTTTGTTTCCTATTGAGATGATCGATTTCCAACATGCCCATTCATTCTCAACTCGCCATAGAGGCATGTCATATTCAGCTTTCAACCTTGAATGAAGTTTCCAGTACTAATGATGCAGATGCCACAGTGTTGATGTGCATTTTGGGAATAAGAAGAAGAAAAGTGAAGCACGAAAGTTGATGTCAAAATATTATATCCTGAAATTGAGCATTTTTGTTTATCTTCATGGTTAAAAAAATGTCAAACTGTGCTGAAATCTAGATCCTTAATGTGCTGCTACCCTGGGGTTTGATCCCTTCGACGTGATCTGGCTTTCCGTCTTATTTCTCTTCGTTTGCATGGTGCGCAGGAGCGACAAATAAACCTCAAGAATTGGACGACGCAGTTCTTAGGAGGCTGGTTGGTATACTGTAATATAATTACCTGAAGTTTGAGTTCCTCTTGTGCTAGTATAGGATTCTCATCAGTTTTATCTGAAAACGTGAAGGTTAAGAGAATATACATTCCACTACCTGATGAAAAAGTTAGGAGGCTCCTTTTGAAGCATAAACTCAAAGGACAGGCTTTTTCCTTACCTGGTAAGTATATCCTCCCTCATTCAGTAGCTCATGCTAGTCTGGATTTGTTCTGAAAATTAGTATCTCGCAGTGCTGTTCTTCTGGAGGGATTAGGTTTAACTTTTTTATGTGAAATGTATTGCGCATGGAGATCTTTTGTCGAAGATTAATTACAGTTCTGAAGTGGGTTCAGATTCTCATGTTGGGTCTAGAACATTTAGTGGTATGAGACAGACTAAAATGCTCTGACATATGTGTGCGCTTTGTTTTTGCCAAGATGACATGTATGTTTCGTCTATAGGTTGCTCCTTTATGCCCCTTGCATGAATTTTCAGTACTCTGTTTGACCGACATAGTGATTCTTCCTTGCATGTGTGGTTTTTAGTTTTTACTAACAACATGCACGTTTATTTATATAGCGCGACTGGCATGAATTGTCATACTGTAATTAGGGGCTGTTATGCCATGTCCTCTTTTATCTTCAAAGGAATAACACGTATAATCTTGTGTATTTCAGGCGGCGACCTTGAGAAGCTTGTTAGAGAGACAGAAGGTAAGAAGACAATCGCTCCACATTGGCCCTGTATAAGATCTTGAGTGGACTACATTTGTCCTCTGTGGATATGTTAGCTGCCAGACTACTGTCATTATTTACAGTAAAGGCCACTCGACCATGACGAACCCCGTCTAATAATTGTGAAACGCAAAACCAGCTTTCCAAATTATATAATTATTATATCATTACATTATTCCTGTTTCGAAGTGAAAGGGACCAAAGTAAAAAAGTTAACTACTGTTTCCACTGCAGGGTACTCTGGAAGTGATCTACAAGCACTGTGTGAAGAAGCCGCAATGATGCCAATTAGAGAGCTTGGTGCCAGTATTCTCAATGTCAAGGCCAACCAGGTAAAACTTTTCATCTATATACGACTCACCAAAATGTTAAGTGTTGCCCTCTGAATCACGCACGCAACTGGTTGCAATGCAATGATAATTGATAACCAATATTCTCACCTCAGGTGAGACCCCTAAGATACAATGACTTCCAGAAGGCAATGACAGTAATCAGACCTAGCTTAAGCAAAAGCAAGTGGCAAGAACTTGAGCGGTGGAACGAAGAGTTCGGCTCAAATTGACGTTTCCACTGTAGTAGTATGGTAAAGTTATTTATAGACGAATTAATTTCCTGTTCAATTTGTCTTGGGCGAAGCCAAATGCATAGTCCTAGCAATATGTATAATCATGTACATGTTACACAGTATGTATATCGCTTCGGGTATTGTAAACTTTAAGTGATCTTATTCATGTATCTTTCACTAATGTGAGTCGAGTGTCAAGTGCACAGCCCGCTTGCTCCAGAAAGATCGATTATAAACAGTTTATAAATTTGTCAGTGACGACTTCCAGCGAGCCACATACAGATGTTTGTAGCTGTGATCTCCGAAGTTCTGCTGTAAAGAACTCCAGCAGCTGTATGTCTTGTACATTATCGATACGTTTCAAAGTAACTGAAGTAGCTAAGCACTACTCTGCCTTCTGCACTTGTTGTATCGATTTCAGTTTCAGGATTCACACTGAACTCTGCGTACGATGAGTTTAGGGAGTTTCTTGCCATGTAGAGAGATATTTAAGGGATTTCTTCGATCCTAAGATCGATTAGGCTGGTTCAGAACTAAAAAATTATCAGTGAAGATACAGAGATCAGTTTGAAAATCCAGAAAAAGCTGGCACCTTGGAAAACTAGCCATCTCTTCCTAGTTGCTTGCATCACCTTGGTGAAATCTATATCCTCCTCTGTGACTATTTACCCTATGTTTACGAAACACTTACCTGTATAGGTGTCAATCGGACGGGTTTAATCGGGTTGCGGGTCAAGTGGGTTCGGGTTGCGGGTCAAGTAGGTTCGATCGAGTTGCGGGTTGCTCGGGTTGTGGTCAATCAAGTTGCGGGTCAAACGGGTTACAGGTCAATCGGGTTTGGGTTGGTGAGGTTGTGGATCAGTCGGGTTGTGGGTTGATCGGATTGCAGGTCAATTGGGTTTGGGTTGATCAGATTGCGGGTTAATCGGGTTACAAACAGGTCGGGTTGCGGGTTGTTTGGTCCAAACAATCAATTTTTTTTAAATGATTAGTTATTTTACTAATTTAAAACAAACTCACCAATCACTATTTTGTAATGAAAAAAACATGAATGTACAATATTAAACAAATGAGTGGCAGGTTGAAATGTCATTTAAATATATGATATATTTACTAAATGTATTCTCAAGTTTTCAAAATATTTGAAATGTATATTTTTTTTCCGGTAAACTGGTAACTTTATTTGAAGCTCTCTTGATCAAAAGATCCAGCATCCGAAAAAACAAGACAAAACAGAGTATGTCTACAGAGAGAGCCGCAAATCAACTTCTCACAACAACAACCAAAAAGGACTAAAATTCAGGTCACTACAGAATGCTCTATTACCCATAGCTACAAGCAGAATCTCCTCTCGTAAATGCCTAAAAAGCGCCTGCCAGTCAAGGCAAGGGCCTCCATAAACTCTACGACAACGCTCAGTCCAGATTAAGTACATTACCCAGCACCAAACAACACTTGCAACTCGCCCTTTAGCTCCCCCAGATTGTGCTAGTGAACTTGCTGCTCGAAGCCTGCTTTCCCAGGTACATGCCCAGGGATGTGCCAAATCTCGAGAAACAGCAGAGAAAATATTGCGAGTATACAAACAGCGGCAGAAAAGGTGTTCTCGAGTTTCATCTGTTGCATTGCCCAACACGACTTAGCGTCTGCACTTTTTCCCCACATCTGAAGCTTAGTCTTGGTTGTAATCCTGTCAAGAATAATTAACCTAACAATAAACCTATGTCGAGGAATGACATAGCGACCCCAGATAAGTTGCCACCACGGTACAGTTGCATGATGAGTTCGAATTGACTCCCAGACTCTGCTCAAGGAAAACCTCTGCATAGTTTTCCCCTCCCATGTCACCACCCCATTCTGATCTACATCAAGTCGAAATCTAAACCAACCACGTTGCTTCAACATTTGACGCCATATCCAAGAACCATAAGTTGTTGCAGGGATTGACCAGAGAGGTCGTCCTTTGAGTCTAAAGTGGAGTATCCAAGCCACCCAAAAACTTCCTCCTCGCATAAACAACATCCAAAAAGGACGAGCCATACAGGCCACATTCCAAGTGTAAAGGTCTTTAAGACCTAGCCCTCCTTCTCGTTTAGGTGACACCACCACATCCCAAATCACCTTAGCTCTTCCAGTCTTATCACCATGCCATAGAAAGTCAGAGCAAAGCTTATGAATTCTATCAAGTACTTTCTTTGGCAACAACAGAATAGACATCCAGAACTGCATAATAGAATAGATTACTGAAGAGATAAGCTGCAAACGACCCGCATAAGAAAGTCTATTAGCACGCCAGGAACGTAATCTACTAGTAATCTTGTCCACCAATAGATCACATTCTCTACTTGTTAAGCTCCCAGCAAAAAGAGGTAGTCCCAAATAACAAACCGGGAGGGTACCCTCCTTGAATTCAGTAGCAGCAATGGCATAATCCTTATAAAGGACAACACTCCCACCAAAGAAAACTTCCCACTTATTAGGGTTGCATTTCAATCCTGGAAGTGTATAAAACTCAGCAAGAATCTGTTTTACCTTTAGTAGTGTAGTACCTGAGCCCTGAGTAAGAATGAGGAGATCGTCGGCAAATCTAAGATGAGTCAATTTTATGGCTTTACATTGAGGATGATAAGGTAAAGATCCAGAGGAAACTGCCATGTCAAGCATACAGGAGAGAGGTTCAAGAGCAATGGTGAATAGATAAGGAGACAGTGGGTCTCCATGTCTAACACCTTTTTTGGCAGCAAAGAAACCAAATAGTGATCCATGGATCGTGACACTGAAGTAGGTAGAAGAAAGACAAGCCTTGATCCATTGAAGATATCTCGGAGGAAATCTCATCCTCTCCATCATGCAAAACATAAAATCCCAATCCACTGAATCAAATGCCTTGTGCAGATCAATCTTAACAGCAGCCCTGGATGAGAGGTTATGTTTTGAGTATCCTTGTACCATTTCTTGGGCCATAAGAATGTTGTCAAGGATACTACGCCCTTTGATAAATGCTTATTTGTTCATACTTATGACACTCAGCAACACTTGCAGGAGCCTATTTGCTAATACCTTCGCAATGATTTTGTATATGATGTTGATGCAGGCTATAGGCTGAAAAGCTAATAGTCTATCCACATTAGGTACTTTAGGGGCCAAAATAAGAGAGGCGGAGTTGATTCCTTTAGGCAACTTTCCTGAGCAAAAGAATTCTTTGATCCCTGCATTGATGTCTGGGCCAAGGAGCCCCCAACTATGCTGGAAGAAGCTAGCTGGCCAACCATCAGGTCCAGGGGCCTTGTGAGCTTCCATGGAGAATAATGCTTCCTTAATTTCATCAGCAGATGCTTCACGACACAGCAACAACTGATCAGCATCAGATAAGTGAGAGCGCAGAAGGGGCAGCACTGACTCTAAAGTTACTTGGATTTCTTCATTCTTCCTTCCATACAATGTTTAATAATTTAACACTTCTATGAAAGAAAGAAGAATTTAAATCCCCCAGCGTCAAGTAGTTGATGCGAGATTTCTGCCAATAAAAACTTTCCTCAGCGCTTTTATAACTCTGGTAATTAGCTGTAGCCTGCTTCATGGCCTCAAATGACTCCTCAGAAGGATCTTGTAAGGCAATTATCTGTTTCTCTTTCATATCCTGCTCAGACTGTTTAACTCTCCCCGAAATGTCAGCAAATTCCTCACGGTTAAGAGATTTGAGCACCAACTTCAGTTTCTTCAACCGATTTAGTACTCATTGTATAAAAGATCCTTGACCAGGATTATTCCAAACAGTAGACAACATGTAATTATATGTCTCATGTTGCTTCCACATCTCATAGAACCGAAATGGTTTGGGAAATGATTTCTGCCGCTCTGTTAGACAAACTAGAATGCCAAATTGATCTGAGAAGGAGGGAGCTAGGAATTCTACCACCGAATCTGGAAGCGCACTTAACCAATCATCATTAACCAGCATGCGATCCAGTTTCTTAGCAATAGGGCGAGCTTGCTGCTGATTAGACCAAGAAAACAAAGGTCCAGTGAACTGATGATCCAAAAGTTCCATTGAGTCTACCCAAACACGAAAGTTCTGCATACTAGCTGAGATAGAGACAGCGGTAGAAGACTCCAAAGGACTGAGAATGGCATTAAAATCACCACAAACCATCCATGGAAATCCCTTAACTTGCCATTTCCTCGTTCTTGCGTAAGTAGCCAATCGAGCACTCTCATCATTATAGTCATAGACTGCAGTAAAGAAAAATTGCACTGCTGCTGTAATAGAAACTAACATATGTATAAATGAACTGTCGCAATGTAAAACCCTTAGCTTCACATCTTTATGCCAAGCAATCCAAATTCTACAAAGGTAATGAGCATTGTAGTTATCCTCAAATGTAAAATCCAAAAAAATTTCTTGTATCTTCTTAGCATTGCCCTTCTGCACTCTAGTTTCCAGCAATGCCAACACTTGTACTTTATACTTATGTATATACTGAAGCATAGAATTTTGCCTTGAGGGGCTGTTGAACCCCTCGTGTTCCAAACTAGAATAGTCATATCTTTGGAAGAGGGGGCTTAAGCACCCCTTTCTGACTACGTAAACCTTTCCGACGAAGTGGTGGAGGATTCTGCAATTGCATATTCTTAGCACAAATTGCAGCAAAAGAGTTCGCCAAAGAAATTGGAGACGGTATCACCTGAGTAGGTGGCTTCACGCCATTTACTACCAGATTAAAATCTTCCCGAGATGGCAAAGCACTAGGAGTGATTGGGGGAGACTCAAGAACTGGCACAACAGTCTTAACGTTTACTTCCTCAGTTCTTGCTATACTATCTAAAGAAACAGTGGTAATCATTTTCTTCCTCCAAACCTTCTTCACATTCAACTCCCGAGAAGCAATACAATCATGCCCAAATAAACCACAGGATTTGCAAATAGGAGGCAAGTGGCAGTATTCTACCTTAATGAACATCTCATCCATATCGTCTGGGGTGATACTAATCCGATC